AAGAGACCATGAGCTCATTGCTAACAGCGATACAGTCGAGTTCTCAGTCCCAGCTGAGCTCTCAGCAGTATTCAGAGTGTCCAGTCACTGAGTGGAACAGTGGAGGAAACTCCACCAACAGCACAGCCAGTAGCAATGGACAAATAGGAAGTGTAGGTTGTCTCCATTTCTCACTCACACGAGATACAATTTTAAACAGTTTGATTTCAAACGTCTGAGAACTCTGTCATCACTTTCATAGCTCATCCATTGTGATGTTTTTATTTCGTGTCATTTTTTTGTATTCATCGTTTTTATAAGACCATGTGCACTTGTCTTTCTCAGGTTTCATGTTCTAATAGCTCAACTGTAACGTCAAGCTCAGGAAGCGACACTTTGTTATCCCCAATGGGATCCATCAGCAGCAGGCTCAAATCCTTAAATAATAATCATTCATGTTCAGAGTCCACCACATCCAGTGTCTCATCTCTGACGTCTAACTATCCCAAAGCTCCGGGCTTTGAACGTGAAGATCAGGTACACAGACTGCTCTCTCTAACCTCGGGAAAACTAAACCCCACACACAGCTTAGGGCTTTACACTTTTATCGCAGCCATTTGTCACTCGTTTATTGTTTGCCATGCCATTTTAATTTGACCACTTCAAGCCCTTTTCCTCGTATTTCATTGTTTGCTTGTCATGTCATTGATTTCTTTAAAATATCCCATTACGTACATGCACTATATGTATGTGATGATGACTTGTTAAATGTTAAACACCTGTCGAATATTACAGGACACTTTAAAGTCATTTTAAAGCAATTGAAAAAGTTTTTGTTTTTGAGACACTACACTAAGGCCCAGTATAAGATGAAATAACTAGAACTGTGAATCATGGAAAGCTGCTTTATTAGAGCCCTAGAATAAAAATATGGCATAAAAATGGTCTCCACCGCTCCCCTGCAGCTGAGCCACAAACCACATCCTGGACTTTAAAATGAATATAATATGCTCACTTTATGGCATTTCTGTTCGTCTAAAGAAATGTCAAATCTTCTGAAGTGTAGCATTGTCTTATGATCAAGCTGACCAGCAAATAGTTTCGGTTCTTAAACTGCATTTGTGGTTTTATAGTTCCTTGCTAAGAATTCCCCTAAAGGGAATTTTTTAATGTTTTCTGGCTTTATAGAAGACTTCCACTCACAGTAAAATGTTACTGTCTCCTGCACTCACGATTTGCTAGTGCTACAAGATGAAGGCAGAATGAAGTAACGTGATCGGTTTAATTACAGTCTGCAGTCAGTCTGAAGAAAGTTGCTCCATAAATGTTAATCATCAGAATGACAAGAGCCGTGAGCGCTGCGAAGCCTAAGTGCAGGGACGGTGAAAAATGGTTAAGATAAAATGTGTTAGTCCAGGGCGGGTGCAATAAAATTATTTTGATTAATACTGGCTTGATGTAAAGGATATGGCACTGAAATAGACTGTTTCTTTGCCATTTGATCATTTCCAGATTAAGAACAAGGGACAGGTGGATCAAAAAATGATGGACCAAGAAAAACAGGTTTGTTTTTAGTGAGTCATTTAGATAATGTGTTTATTTTATTATGAAACTTGTAATTGAGAACATAGGAATTAAACGCTTTACTGTGCTTTGCTTTTAGACACAAAATACTGTATTCTCTGTGGTGAACCCATTGGCATCAAGCTTTACCTCCAGTATAACATCAAGCTTGGCCTCTAGTATTGGTTCAGACAGTTCTTCACCCACCACCTTATCAACGATGAATGCAAAAGCCACTCCTTTCTATCCAGGGAGCAACACAGTGGAGTCTGTCATTGGTAAGTGTATGCAAAACAAAGGGAAAACAGCTTGAACTGACTGTCACTCTGCAGTTTGTTGTCAAATTTCAGTCAGATTTGTTTTGTTTCCCGTCAGGATCCGCACTGGACCTCAACTTTAGTGACATTAATGTTGCATCGCTTGATAAGGAGTTAGAGGATCAAGATAACAGTGTGGGAATGGCAGGTAAGGTCACTTCATATGTTTCAAGCACTTATTCATCACAAATCCTTCCATTAGGATTTGTGTGTTTCTAAAGAACACCTGTATATGCTTTGTCCTTCAGGTCAAAGGGTGCTAAGTGGATCTGCTCCTGTCAACATTCCTGGCTCATTGGCACGATCATCTTCTTTTAATTCTTCATCATCGCTCTCCACCTCCCCTCTAAGTTCTCTCTCCCAGTCGCTGTCACAGTCCCTGCTGTCTGGGACAGTATCTCAGCAAAATCAACCTTCAAACATGCTAGCCAAGCAAGAGCACGGCCTTCTGGGAACACCCACCTCCTCTTCCCAGAACTCTCTGGGTAAGCTGATCGCATTTTCCCCCGAGCAAGCTGGAAAGCATTTGCTTTCATCAGCCCCTTCCTTCAGCTTCCCTTCGGTGTTTAATCTAGTTCTGTGTGCAGTAGTGAAGCTGAAAGTATGACTAATAGAGATGGATCGTGTAAAAAGTGACACAAGTTAGTGCAACCAAGATTTTGTTTAATCTAAATCGCTCTTATCTTAACACGTCGCTCACCTAGGCTTGAACGGAGGAGCTAGCAGCATTTGGGACTTTGTAAGTGGCAGCTTTTCACCCAGTCCATCTCCAGTTTTCAGCAGCCTAACCTCCACAACCACCAGTGCTGATGTGGCCCGCCTTTTCAGAGAGCTGGATGAGGCCAAGAGGAAGATCAAACAATTTGAGGAGGCCTGGCATCAGGTGAAGCAAGTAAGTATACACACTCACTGTGTGCCAGTTATTTCCCTTTTTATACTTTTTTTTTTTTTTAAAAATTCAACCCTCACCTTTGTTCCAGGCCTGTGAAGCTTGCCAGAAAGACGCTCACGAAGCAAAGGAGCAAGCAAAGACAGCAGAGGCAGAGCGGCAGCTGGCAGAACAGAAATGGGAAGAAACAGAGCGCAAGCTGAAAGAGCTCCAGGGGGACTTTGATGCGCTTTGTCGCACCCCTGGAACACCTCTTCTACGTAGCTATGGAGAGCTGGACCAGCTCCCCTTGTCTAAGCTTCACTCCATCCAGAGTCAGCTGCGTAATGACCTAGACCTTATAGATGGGGTAAGAAAGCCCAGAGCACACACAGCATTTCATTTGTAGCATCGGTTTAGTTTTAAAACAGTTTGTCAGACTGTCATTCAGATCCATGTTTGTCATCAAGCATGTTTATTTGAAAAGTCTGCATGAACTGCATTTCCCTAAGTTGCAGCTGATCTCAATTCTCTTCTTCCCCCAACAGGTAATATATCAGCTTCAGTCAAAGAAATGTATAGTTTGCCAAAAGCATGATCGTTGCATTGTTCTGCAGCCTTGCCAACATTATGTACTCTGTGAGAACTGTGCACCTAGTAAAACAGAATGTCCCTACTGTAGAACAAAAATATTGAAGTGGTGATGTACAGTTACTTAAGGTACTATTTAATCAATTAGCCCTTTGAAAAGCTACTAATAGATATTAAAATTTTCTACACAGCAGTGTCTGTTAGGATGAAATGGTGTTTGACTGACCAAACAAATAGTATTATCAATCAGATTGCATACAGGGGATTCAATCGTTATGGTTTTTGCTCATTTTATGTTCACTTGACATCAAATAGCCAAGCACTTTCTATATGAAAACCAGGCACTTAGTTAATGAATAATATGGAATCATGATTAAAACATTGTACAGGACATAAAATCTGGTCCTCCTAGCACACAGCCACCTATCTACTATCCCACCTAGGCAAGAGTACATACAAAATTATACATTAGAAGTCTGCTACTAAGCTTACTTAAAAGCTCTGTACATAAGGACTGAGTTTGTATCTAAATGCAATGTTTATAACTTACAATTATGAACTGCTTTAATGTGAATAAACATTAAAGCATTGAACCATAAGGGTGTTAGGGTGACATCTCAAAAATTGGCAAATGTTGGGAACATGGTGGCCATCCAAAGCTGAGGTTAAATTATTATTAAAGCTAAAGTGAGCAAAACTCAAAGCAGATATGTCTTTAATTACAGAGGAACTCATCCAGATCAAAAAATAACAATTTGGAAACCATTCAAGAAACCAGACATCCTAGCACCAAGTGACTGATGTCTAATCCAGGAATCACATATTTGTTTTAAGCTCAATTAGTCTGATCAGGAAAACAATACGTGCACTGGTGGTGTATGTGATGGAGAACCATAAAGCAGGTCCGTGTCAAGCTGAATTAGTATACATTTCATTATTAAACACAGCGCTACGAGAACTGTTTATGTGATGAAAACCTCTCATTTTTTTGCCACATTTTCATTGTAGTAAAAAACAGATTGATAAAATACTACAGATCCAGTAAGGTTTGTCATCTTTAAATCAAGAGAAAATCTCAAAACACCATTTAAAGCAGTCCTCTTTAATTAAAGTCATATTTTCTTTAAACCCTCCAAAATAAAATTTCACCAACTTTCTTTTTTAAATGCAAACAGTCAAGCATCATTATTTTGACCAACTTTCTGAAGACGTTTTTCTTATTAAAAGCACTTTGTTGACCTGGGACTTTATTCAAGGGTATATATAAATATATATAAATATAGAAATTTGCTTTAAGCTGCTTTGTAGGTATTCTTTTGTGTCTTTATTTTTTAGATTTATACATTTGTTTTCTACATAATAAGCTACACAATGTCTGAAGCTTTTGTGTGTACTGTGAAACATAATTGAATATTTCATGTTTCCTATTGTTAGATCATAGCATGGTTCTACATATTAAGATTCATTTAAAAAAAGTACTTAATAGTTTCTACTTTCATAACTAGATTTATAATAATTTCAATCAAATAAGTGCAAATTTAAACTGCATTTTAGGCATAACCAGCAGCTGTAATATCAGTAAGGCACATGCTACATGTTAAGGCTGTTTTTCAATCAGTTTTGTTTTGTAGAAATTTATATAGCCTATCCATTAGAGAAGCATGTATTGTATTTGCTATAAGCCTGAAACTGGGATGTTTTTTTTTCACTTTTTTCCCACTTTTTTTTTTTCCTCTTATTTTTTGTAGGAATCTAGCCTCTTGACCTTGTCTAGAACATATCGGCCTCTAACTCTAAAGTGCCTTGCCTTAGTTCAAAAGGTTATGTGTAGAATTGTCAACGCAAACACAAGTAGTCAAAGCTTGTGCACGCGTTTTCTGCAAAATGTGTATTTTAATTCTGCAGAGGCATTGACATGTTTATGACTATATGTGTGTAAATATAAATATATGCCAGTGTATTTGGCCAAATTCCATTAAGTATTTCTGCAGAAGATGATTGAATATGAAAATTGTCAGTGCCTGTGTCCTGACTTTGCTCTTAGAAATGAACCTTCCCCTCCACCTACCCACTCACCCACTCATTCCTTGGTTGTGGTGCTCTTTTGGTGCAGCTTCAGTCTTTGAATTTAGATTTCCAGTTTAAGATTTGGGAGTATGCAAAGTTAGGCCACATGAATTTATACAGCAACATACAAAATGCTTTTTTTAAACAGTTCAGTAGGGTTTGTTGTAATGATTCTGCAGTGAATGAAGATTTCCACAGTAATTTTCTGCGTTGGGTTTGTGCTTAGATTCCCGTAATTCAGATGACCTTCTACTGTGTTTAAAAAAACAAACAAAAAAAACCCTTTTTATTCTTGCTTTAAAACCAGTAGAAAGTCATGCATCTCCAGGTACACTTTTTGCTACTTATAAATGGGAAAATGCATTGTTTACATTTACACAGATGACAATTAAGAAACTCAGAGGAAAAATATCAAGAAAGGTTAATGGTATTTTAGGATTTTCATGATTATATTAAAGCATAAAAGGCAGGCTAAACATTTCATGTATTGCATGTTATGCGATATATTAACCAGCTACACAAAAGGAGAAAAAAGAAAAAAAAATGTTCACACTGTGTCACACTGCCAGAATATTTGTACTTATTTTAGTGTAGTTAAGGCTTAATAACTTCTGCAAGCTTCGCTGCTACTGGAAAAGGTATTAATGTAGTTTCTTGTAAACATTTAGATGTTTGAATGTTGTTGTGCATCCACAGCTCAGATTTCAGATCCTGGAATAATGTCTTCTGCATCTAACTTGACTTAATCTTTTTTTCTTGTTTCAAATTGAATTCTTCTTGTAAATTCATTTCAGTCTAAGTTTCAGTACTTTTGTAAATCCTTAAAATGATGTCAAGGACCTGCACTACAGTAGATAGTCCCTTTTTTGTTTATTTTTATTTGAATTGATTGAAGGTTGGCTTTGTTTCCTCACCCCCCTATACACTGGATAGCAGTGTACAGTGCAGCTAATTCACAGTATCCTTTTGTTCTGTTTTGTTTTGCCTGTGAAGCCAACAAAATTAATGATGTCTAGTGGGGAAAATCTAAAAATGAACCAAAGCGGTGGTCTAGTAGCTGTCCAATTATGTATTATGAGGGGAAAATTTACCCTTGAACAGAATTCAGACAAGTACTCGAGTATTGGGCAGATCACCCTGTAGCTGTCAGCATAACTCGGTCTTTCCCGAATCTCTAGGTGAGACAGCGTTGTGAGTGGCAGGAATTCTATTTTTAGATGGATTTATTGTAATTTGTTTTGCATTAATATTTCATTCAGTATATCCTGAGTCAATAACAGGACTTTGCCAGTGGCTTTCGCTTACAACAGTAACAGACTTGAGCCCATGTTTTGTAGTTTTACCAAAGACCTGTATTGTTATTTCTTTTCTACTACATTTCATCATTTGTCTTCATTAATGAAAAGTGAAATTGATTTTAAAAAGTAAATCACCTAGTACCTTAAATAGTTAATGTTCATTAACAGTAATCTTTTTTTTTTTTCTTTCTATCTAAAGCTTGTCATAGTGAGTGGCAGATGATTATAAATGCATGGGTCAGATCCTTACAAAATGTGTATTCGTACATTTGATTTTTGTATTAAGTATACATTGACGTTTATGGCACATTGTGCAGTACTGGCAAGCACATGCTGACCTTAAGCGCGGATTCAGTGTAAGTTTAATTGTTGTCTACAGTGAAGGAATGTCAAAGGTGAATGACATTTGTGCTTCTGAAGTGGCCATATAAACTTCACTACTGTTGTGAAGTCAATTTTGTTTGTTGATTTTTGCTTATCTACATAAAAATCAGTTTGGAAATGAATAGCATTGTGTACTGTTATGCTAGGCCTGTAAGGTGCTTTCTTTTTATCCGACTCTGTTTTCTGTTTCTTAAAGCCGTGGTCCAAATTAGTTGTCGTTTTCCCGGGGACAGATGACAATTGTGACGCATCAATTGCAGATACAGACATAATTCCACTTAATTTGTTGCTGACCCTCAGTCTCTCTAGAGACTAGTCTACCTGCCAAAAATTTGTAGAAGAAATGAAACGTTCTCTTTGGAAGCACAGCTTGGTTTTTCTTTACATTTCTTCAGATTTCTTTAATTGTTTCTCTCGGACCAATTACGCTTTCAAATGTGTCTGTGCCTTTTAATAATTCTGTAATGTGGATTAATTGAAGAGACAAAATATAACTTGCTCAATTGGAATCAAAAGTTCAGTGCCTTACAGTATTTTGTGGACCATAATGTGATCGCTAAATGTCTCATACATTCAGCCTACTTCAGCTGAAGGGAAAAAGGCTAATCTAATGAGGTTTGCTTCACCAGTTTAAGAGGATGAAGCAGATTTTTTTTTTTTTTTAACTGACTGATAATCGTCTGTATTTGCCATGCACTTCAAGAAAACACAGCAACGCCCGACCACTGAACACACAGATCTGATGTGGATTTGTCATTTGATATCAGAAACCCAACAGTTTGCAAAGAAAAGCACCAAACAGGGAGAATCTTGTATATGAACTGTAATAGATGTATCATTATGCTCTGCATTGGAATAGTTTAATCTATTTTGCATTATTGTTAGTTGTTGTGTCTTCTTTGTTGTTTTTTTTTTTTTTTGTTTGTTTGTTTGTTTTTAACATTATAAAAATGGAGCCAGAAGACTTATGCAATCTTGTACATGTATGGAGCTGTTCAAATTAAGTAAAAAAAGAAATATTAGTGTAAAGTCAAAAGTAAATGATCTTAATGTGGAGCCGGTTGTTCCATGTACTTTAGAAAATTTCAGTAAAAATGTTATTTTAACATTGAAACCCTGAAATATTGAATGTATTGCTCTAAATTAGAATTTCAATGAATAGGTCACTGGATATTATGGAGCGCAGTTAATTGATTATGATGTAGCATCTAGTTGTGAACTTCTATTCAATAAAATTTATTAGAACTTAAACAAATGCAAGTTTTCAAGTTTCTATTTGTTAGCATAATCATAAAATAACTATAAAGAAAGAAATGTATTTTTCTCAGGGTAAAACAGTGATTTGTTAGAGAATGTTAAATCTGAGGAAACTGCATTTCATGGATCTATTTACTTAATGTAAGTGGGTTTAGACATTATAGATTAAAACATATGTCCCTTATTTTGTGATGAGCTGTATGGATATGTAGGAAATTCTATACTGATAATTGTAGAAATTATTCTGTTGGTATATATTGATATTTTTGTGTTGTGAACACAAAAACAGGTGCAAGTCTTAGAATACTAGATGTTTCTTTTCTACATTGAGGATTGTGTACCGCATATTTACTGTAGTGTATTACTAGTTTGTTAACACTTGTTAAATTGTTACACTACAGTTATGCAATGGTTTACAGAGTTCACAAAATTATTTTTATCATCTTGAGAATTAAAATAATTTTTCATCTGAAAAGTGTGACTAATTTTTGTCTCAAACACAACTGACAGAAAAAGATTTTGCGCCTTAAAGAGGAAGTGGACTAGCAGAGGAGGCAAAATGCTGTTTTTGAATAAATATTTATTGAACAATATCTAAAAAGTAAAACAAGTGAAAGCTATAAATTTCTATGCACTTTTTGGAGCAACCTTTGGAAAATATGCTTATATGTGCACACATTTGAATGTTTATGGCACAGTGACGTCACAGCTCTCAGAAGACAAGGTATCAAATAGGTAGCATATCAGCAGCATAGCCTGGAAAACAATATAAAATGAACAAACTTCAAATGTATATTAACACATTGTTAGGGTTATTAAGCTGCTGAGGATGTGGTTTATTTAAATATATTAAGAATAAAAAAGAATCAAAAGTTGGTATTTTTCAGGTGTACCTCTTTTTCATTTTCTGGGAAGACAATGCTTTTCCCTACTTGCTCCAGGTCTGGCCTTTCCTTGTAAATCCTGTTGCAATAATGCAGAATTTAAAAAAATAAATAAACAAAGTCTAAGTTTATCAAGTTTGTTTTTCCTCCATACCTTTTAAGAATCAGGCCAAACTCAGTTGCGATATTTTCTCTTCGGAGAGCCACGATGAGACAAGGAGTTGAGTTGATCTTTTGAGAGCATAAGAAAACAGCCAAAGTTAGCATCTGACTGCACTGTCTGCATGAATTTATGGTCCAAATAAACCTGTATCAAGGTCCCATTCCTCACCTCCCTTATGCTTGACGCTTTAAGTGTCTCTGATATATGTTTTTGCTGCTCATCATCTAGGATGCTCATCCTTCCTGCCACTAGATGGCAGTCTGATCCCAGCACCTGCTCCACTATCTCCAGTTGGGAAGGCACTTGGCTGCCTGGTGTAGCGTTCAAGGGTATCAATAGACAGGTTGTTTGCCTGTGCTTCAGGGACCCTAGTACCAACAAACAAGCAAAACAGAACATTTGTTTGCGTACAGCTTACAAAGGTTACCTGGAACTGAGTCATATTTCAACATCCTTTCCAAGAGAACCTCTGCCAAAAAGATAAATCATTTAAAGGGACATATTTGCTAAAAAATAACTAGTGAACCCTGCAATGTTCACTGTTGTCAATTAAACTGAGTCATATTTAATAATGGGGAGATGTGGATTCATTAATATGAGTACATGGCTAATGCGTTATGATTAAAAGGCATAGGTGCTCATAGCTCTGTTTACTCAGCAACAATACCGTATAATTAAATAAAATATTAAAGAAAACACCAGAACCTCCATTTGGTCGTGACTCAGAGGAGACTGAAAGACTTTCCTGAGCTGCTTGAGTCAGTGTGCAGCTCCGCTGACGCTCTACGGAGGCTAATGGGTCTGAACATAAGCTGAGTATCTGGGGAAAACAAATCATCTGTTTTTTAGCCAAAATTACAACCCTTGTATTCAACATAGGATGGCTTTGAAGTCTGGTTACCCATGTCCCGTGTTTAACAAGCATACCTGCTCCTGTCTCATTGTGTTGGTCTCAGTACAGCAGAGCCCCTCAGGAAAAAACCTCCTCACATCCATAATTGCCTGCTGATACGATCCTGATCCTGTAACGTTGGTTACTGACATTTTAAACATAATACTTACATGGTAATCCTGTTCTCGTGTACGAGTATACAGGGTAGTGATCACAGAAGCTTATAAGTAGGTCGTACCATGACAGGTCATCCACATTGAAGAGTCCTCTTGGCTCAGCATGTCCAGCAGCCTCTTCACAGCATTTTCTCCCTGAAGGCAGAGAGCCAGCGAGGGGCCAGAGCACAGGTTGTGCCCACTTTCTGCACGCAGCAGTGAAGTAGCACCACTTTTGTCATGGGTCACTACCTGTATGCCCACCAACGTGAGGCCACTCTGCTGAAGTTTGCTGACTATTTTAGTGAGACTGTGATTCCAAGCTCGTGGTTTCAATAGGCACACGGTGAGCAGCATCTGTGGGTCTGAACAGAAAGTTAGCAGCTCTGATGTATCACTGAGAGCACCTTTCATAGAGAACAACAAACTTACCGGGAATCATTTCATGCTCGAAGAAAAAAAGGGAGGCTTGTCTGAGGGCCACTTCAGGTGTGGGAGACATGAGGACACTCAAGCTTTGAGGACAGTCATGCGGTAGGAGCTTCCTCAACGAAGAAAAATCAGCAAATCCTCTCAAAGCACACACTAGAGCTGGAGAAGACATCAGCGTTTCCATGCTGGTGTAGCAGAGCGGATCTCCCACCTCATACGGGCTCAGCTCCTGGGCTTGAAGTCGAGTCAGCACAGGAAGCCACTTCAGGCTGAGGAGCATAAATCTAGCATGTTGTTCATCACCTATAACATAAAAAAAAAGGTATTGCAATCAATCAGAAACAATAAGGGTAATTAAGAGAACTGTGATGAGGCCAAAAAGAATCACTCAGAATGAGGTTTGTTTAGTTAGTTGTGCTCTCAGATACTTCTACCTTCTTCTTCTATCAGCACTCTGTTTAGGAGGCTGAGGCCTTGGGTCAAGTCCTTCCCACACAGAGTCAAAACTACTACCTGCTCCATGTCAGGTCTGAATGAACACCTGTGATGAGACAGGATCACACTGGAGGGATTTGGCACTGCCCACATGCAACTAACTACAAAGAAAACATATATAAGTAGAGAGTTACAGCACGGGATCGTCTTCTCGTATCTGTGCTGGCCATCAACTGCTTACCAAAGTTTTGGAATAAGTTCTTGTTGATCGGTACAGTGTGGAAACACAAGCTTGGCTCTGATGTGTGAACACCATCCTTTCCTGAGTGAATGTAACCCAGAAGCTTTTGAGCTTTGAATTCTTTCATTAGCACTGAAACATATGACAGTTGGACGAGATTATGTTGACAGCAAAGACTTCCTGCATTATAAGACACACATTTTGACATTTCACGTTACAGAGATGAATTATGTTCTAGGGTTGAGACAGATTTTGAGACCTGATGGTAGACCGACACTGTGACGCGATGCATTTTCTTTTCTCAGCAGTAACACGAGACAGTGAGAGGGCATCTCTAGCTCTTTTTGATCTGGAGTGGAAGCAGGTGGACTGCAGAACACAGATGCCTACCAACAAATTATTGTTATCATTATTATTATTATTATTAACCCTTATTTAACCACGAAAAAGAATAACTCAAAGGACAGCAATACAATAATAATGACTAATTATTCAGGTTATTCAGGCAAAACATTTGAAACCTGAACCGCCTTAAATTCATTAGGTGAGGCTAGTTCCTTAAGTTTTAGTTGATTCTGCAGCTGATTCCAGCAGGAAAGAGCTGCATTTGAATGCTCTTTTTCCAAATTCAGTATGAACCTTTAAGACAGATAGAAGGAATAATTCTTGAAACCTAAGACAATCACTTTCCAAACCTTTTTTGCTTAGATTTGATTGATTAGAGCTTTTCTCTCTAAGACTCTGTGTACTGAGTGAGTGTCTTGGTTCTTCTACCTGGAAGCTGCTGAGGCCCAGGAGGGAGGCCCCATGGCTATGAACCTGCAGTCTCTGCAGCCCTCTAAGACTGAAGCCTCTGCGTTCACATACAGCCAGCACTTGGCCATAGCAGCATGGAGGAACAACAGGTGACACCAAGAGGAGGAAATCAGCTACACAAATTAGGGAGAGAAAGAAGAGGATCTCCACTCAAGTAAAATGTCCTTAATACAAACAAGGACTTTGACTCAGGATGATAAAAGTTAAAAATGAAAGGTGAGCACTGACAAATTTTTCCTACTGTGACAGTTTGGACTTGCTGAATTATCGTACCTTTAATTGTGGCACACAGGAAAGAAGATGATCTGCTTGGATTGGACAGGATGGCTCCAGCTCGGTCATCTGAAGGCACACTTCTAAAAAGAAAATGTTAGGTAGCTGATTCTAAAAACATCACACTGTAACACTTTAAAATAAGCTCCAGTCGTCCCCACAGGATTACACCAACACCCATCAGTTAATGGCATCAATTAAAATGTAATAAATACCCTGGAATTTGTCCAGGGTGGTGGAAAATGTGCAATAATCAGTTATTTGATAAAAAAAAACAACTTCATGGACATAGTTAAAGAACATTTTCCACACACCTGTTGTGATCCTGTGCACTTCCTCCCTGCAGTCTTCCTGAAAACCACAGGCACAGCTCACTGTGGACCTGACTGGCCAGTTGGGGTGAATAGATGAATGGTGGTTCTTGATCTCTGCAGTGTAGACCATTGCTGGAAGTGGTTTCTGCCTTTTTGGGCCGCAGAGAATCTAAGGAGCTAGTTATGTCCTTCAACAAGGAGTGGGCATAAGGACCTCGGACTGCTAGAGTAACAACGGGATGACAGGGCTCATGGTCTCTCAGACTACCCGCTGTTCTACCTGAATGAGAGGAGACGTTTTCAAAGACTTTTTTTAATCAGTAAAAAACAAGCATCCAGGCCAAGTGGAGTAACTTTAAGCACAGATGGTATTAGTTATGTCCTACCAAAGCGCTCACTCAGAAGCTCCTGTGGTGGATAAAGCAGCCGGAGACCACACACATCGAGTCCTGAGTCTAGGACCAGCTGGAGGGTGTAGTGTGTTAGAAGAGGATGTTGAAAGAAGCCACTGCACCCCAGAACAACTGACACCTACAACAAAGTCGAGTAAAAATAATTTAGTCCCTGCTGTTCCTCTGACTCTGTGCTTCCTGCAATCAAAAGAAAGCCGTTAAAGAAAGCACAATTACTCCTGCAGATAGCACTTTTAAAGACACCCCGCTCACCTCTGTGTGCACCTCCTGTGTGGTCTCTTTCCCCTTAAAAGCACGATCCCAAGTTTCCACTGTCTGCCAGTAAAAACCTGGACTTAGACCAAATGTCCTCTCTATGACCTAAAAAAACAAAAAACAAAATACAGTGAGCAGGAAGGAAAAACATCTGAGCGCTCTGATGTTGGGAGTCTTAAAGCAACCTTTCTGCAGCAACCCACCCTTTGGTTGGAGGTGGCAGAGATAAAACAATTTAAACAGGATGAAGGGAGGTGGATGGGAGAGGTGCAGGGTTGCTGGTCCAACAGGTTTTTAAGGTGAGGCAGCCAGCTGGTAATTGCAGTGAGTGAGGTCTCAGAGAGGAACCTGCAGACATTATTATAGAAAGGTGCATAGACGTCTGTGTCCCGTTTCTAGAAAACAAATATGAGATCTGCGTCACTGTCAAATTCATGAGACAAAGGCTACATTCACACTGCATGCCTTAGCACTCAAATCTGAGCCACGGTTTACATCCCTTTGTTTGTTTGCCCATTCAGTAACAAGGCTTTCACATACTGTTTCTGATGCAGTGGCTATTACTTCTGTATTAGGTGTCAGGATGCCGTTAAAGGAAGGAGAATCTTGACTCTGACAGTAAAATTCCTTCCAAAAAATAGCTTAAAAAATTGTTAATGTGAAAAGATAATCACAACGAGTTTATATCCAAAACATCAGACCACTTTGTTGAAGCAATAGCCTGTGCAGCTGAACTAGAGCCAGGCCATACTTTTGTGTCATGCCAAGTACCATGTCACTTTATCCTTTATTTAAGCAGGCAAAGCATTAAAAAAAACTTCTACAAGCATTTTACAATGCCAATCTGGGAAAGGGTAGAGCCTCTTGAGGAACTAAGTTAGCTTCAAAGAAGTCTCAAAAGCAGTAAGAGTCGCTGGTAAAATTTTGCATCCTGGTGGTGAAAGTTTTAGCTAAAAGTTTACAAAAAAGGAACTGTGTCTGCCAGCACATCGCCACTCAACTCTCAGGTCAGGTTAGAGACCGGTGACATGAGTTCTGATTTTACTGTTCAGTCTGAACTCATGATGTACCCACAATCTTTGCAAACTATATACAGACCTGTGTCTGATTTAGGCCACAGACTGAATTGGCTCAAATCAGAATTTAAAAGATCAGTTTTGTGCAGTTTAAATGTTTTTTTGTGCGTGTAATTTCTTCCTCTTTTGTTTTGCATGTACCCTTGCTGGATAACAGTGACGAGCCACAATTAAAACATGCAAAGCCAGTCCATCTTCTGTCCACAGCTGGTGAAGTCCTGCAACCCAGAATGGGACCTTTGCACTGATCTTGTCTTCACTGCTACGTGGCTCTGAACCGACCTGACAAAACATGAACACAGGGGGGAAAGAACTCAAAAAAACAAACTACAGTATGGCTAACATAAGAAGATAGAAGCCACTGTCCACTAACCAGAGACAGAAACCATGCCACTAAAGTGTTATAGATGTGCAATTTGGTTGCAGCTGGATATTTTCTCTTCCCATGTCCTCTGTCTTCTATCACACCAGGACTGCAGAGGTTGACTTTCAGCAGCATGGAGCCCTTACTTTCAATACCTGCTGGTAGTGTGCTGATTGGCTCTTGATGAGATGCTTCCTGAAAAATGGGAAGTAGTAAGTGTAGGGAAATGCACTGTGCATTTACTCTGAATTAAGTGACACTTACAAACTCATAGAGAACATCAGTCATTTCGGCAGCTGGCTGCTTCCCGGACACAGATTTGGTTGGACAATGTTTTTCCAGCTGCCTAAGAGTTTCCTGGGCTTGTTCATGGTGAGACGCCTTCTTAACCCATCGTCTCAGTTGGTCCCTAATAGTTCGTCATCATCGCGGTTAACATATTTGTTTATAAGAGTTAATACAAATAAAGGCAAACAAAACAAACTCCATACCTCTGCTGTTTTGGTTCTTTAACTAAACTTCCTAAAACAGTTTGTGGGCTTTCCACTTCAGGTTCGGATTGTTTATCTACCCACAGATGTTCTGACTTAACATCTGTGCTTGCTTCCACGCCGAGCTCTGGATGACGCATCCGTTTATCAGGATATTTATTCTCATTTCTATTCATCTCCCTTATTTTTTTAAGCAACATACTCTTTCCAGTCTCTTCCCTGCAAGCACAGCAATGACAACATGAGCAGAAAGAAAACAAGCACAACTGAAGTGTGACCAACGTTCCTGACGCAGGATGTATTTACCTGCCTCCCATATGCAATCCACGGTGCACTTTTAAATTGTTTTTCTTTGCAGGTGATGTTTTCTGGTGAGTGTTGTTGTGTTTGGCTGACGTCTCTGATGGAAGACTTGGGGATGTTCTTGCTGGTTTTACTGAGGGATCAGGGCAACGCAGGTCAATATAAACAGTGGAACATTCCCGGTGGCTTAACTGCAAATCTATTCCACACTTTTCCACTGATCTGCTCGACATTCTATTTTCTCTGCAAGAAAAAGGTCGATTATTATAATAATATTATCTTTAAAGGCTCACGGATCCTGGGCAGTGATATGACTTACTTGTCGGAGTCTGGACTCACAGGTTCTAACACAGATGCAGTCTGATTCTTACAGAAAGCAGCTAATTTCTCCATTATATTCTCCTGCAACTTGTCTGTGCCACCACCTGCAAAACAAAGATTCAGTTCATAAACCTGTCATCGATCACTACAGCCTCAGTGAATCGTTTCATAATGACTTACCTTGATGCGTTTTCAGGGGTGCCACTGTTACATGGGGTTGCAAAGACAGCTTGTTCTCTTTTAGATTTTTAAGGGCATCATCCAAGTCCCACTGGTCAAGGCTCTGAATGTAAGTTTTTAGAGAATATTTACTTGCATTGTTTATAACTGCTTTCATATGATGTTTTTCTACTCTTCAAACTTACAGCAAGTGAGAGAACAGGGCAACCATCATAGGATTTCACATTTTCCAGGTCTGGTTTTAAAGAGGCCTTCAGCTTGACTCCTTTATTCAACACCTCAGAATTATCCTCACCAGCACCCGCCTTTAATGATAACAAGAAAACAAAGTACATTTAAAATGCTGTGGCTTTATGGTGCTGTGCTCTAACCAGACCAGTATATCCCACCTCAGCATCATCCACACAGGCTAATGTACTGCTTTCTACAGTTTCACTAACATCCATCTTTTTGCAAATCTCTTCAGATAATGGTTTTGGGAGCTCCTGATTGAGGGAAACGAGACAAATAAAAATAATAAAAATAAGAAATAACAATGATCATTCAGAATCAGAATCACAGAAACAGAGGGAAATTGAGTATTTATTATTATCATTCATGTCATCATAATCAGTCATTCGTTTGCTTGGGTTTCATGATTTTTCTATCATTAAGAAAAAAAAATATTCACTGACCTCAAATTCAGCATCTACTGAAAAACTGTTGAAGTCCTCAGGAAGCTTCAGGGAAAGAGCAGCTGGTCTTTCGTATATGGCGATGATTTCGTCTTTCTCTGGCTATACAACGTTAAAACGGCATTAATTGTGTAAATAAATAGTTATTAGCGGACGTTAGCAAGATTTAAGTTTAAAAACACAACTTACAGGTGAAAGGTCAAAGTCCATGGTAGGAATATTTGGTTTAACTTTCTCCAAAATTGAATTCCAACACGAAGAACGGTTAAAATCCATTTATAACAACGTATAAAAAGAAACTAATTTAAAGTAAGAACGTTTTTTTGTGTTGTTGGTGTGTCTTTGCGCTGAATGTGTAATTGCTAGTCCCTGGGTACTTCTTGGTTACCATTGGAAACGAGAAGCTTCACAACAGTGTTGCCTTCAAATGCTGCCAGTAATTCCCATACTGAAACGCGAAAGTTTCGCGAAAATGTGAAAGCAAACAAGTACTAAATTGGCATAGTGTTCCAAAGTTGCGTTGTGTGTGTGCTAGGGCAGGTAAGCTCACCAGGATGTAACTTTTCTAAATATAGGGAAATGTTCCTTTTATGCTGGCTAACACTCTTTTATGACCTTTTAACAGGAATTTTCCTAGTTTGCTAGCTACCGTGCTAAAATTGCTTAAAGTTATAGTTTTCATACAGCTGAATAAACGTCAAACAGAAAACCGATTAAACAGAAGTCTGAGATGATCGAATATTTACGCCAGTGTCCTGTTATATTTTAGACAGAAAGGAGCAGACGGCTGAGTTTATTTAATTCCACCGAGACATCTGATGACGCAAAACTGAAGGCTAGACCGTCCAATTTCACAGCCGCTCACTTCCGGCCTACCGGGACTTCGGAGGACCCGGCCCACGTAGACCGCGAAGGCCGGGTCCTCAGGTGGATGCAGGCAGGCTATGAATTTGGACACCCCTACAGGTACTGTGCATAGCCATACTATACCTACTATTTCAAGGCCTACATACGATTTTACAGGATTGCTTGATGTTTTTTCTAATTTTAACTAACCAATACTCAGACATTTTTGATGCATTTGTTCCAAATTACAGGTCCTGTTTCATTTTTGTGGTAAGCCAGGCTAGTGAAAATGCCAGGATTTAATCTGTGAAATGTTTTGAGTTATTCATGTTCAAACATTTCTTCAAATTTCAAAGGCCCATGATGATGATGATGATGATAATTATTAATATTATTATTTTACTTTGCTTGAAATTACTGCAATTAAAGTACTGTCGGGCCTTATCATAATGTTAATACGTTCTGTGCTAAAGTTAAGTTATCTGTGTTACAGATCATTTTATAACTATTTTAGCAAAAGTCAATGAACCACATTTGTACATTTGAAGTGTTTTATTAAATATCTCAGGCAAACTCATATCCATATGAAGCACTTCAGCAAAGGTATTACAAATTGAGCTCTTCACATTCCATCATGCTCTCTAATACTAACATAAATTGATGTGTCACAAAGCATTGTGAAGTTGCTGCATCACATTTTGTTTTTCCTAGTGTTGACAATCTGCCAACTGTCATCACATTCAACCACAACCACATATTTAACATATCTAATGAAGCAAAAGGAATATTGGTTTTCATGGGATTTCCTTTGAAGAGAATCCAGATATGTTTAGAAACAAATAGCATTTTCTGTAAAAGCATGAGATGGCAGGAGCTTATCTGTTAATAGCTATATAAGAACATGAAACCCATTTCAGTATTGCAGTTTTGATGTTCAAATCAAACTTAAGTAATTTACAATGTTGAAATGCTAATGCTGATAGCAGAATTTTAACCAACCAGCTCCATAAAACTGTCTTTGTAGTGCAGCTTAGCAGTTTTGGAAGTGTTCACCGTCCACATCCCGTAAGTCCTGACCTGCTAGGCGAGGTGGGCTGGTGCATGTGATGTTGTTGTATATGGTGATTGTCGTATCAGGCTCTTCACCTTCTGCGTGGGTCTCCACTAGCCGAGGAATCACCTGTGACTTCCTCAACGCGTAGTTTCTAAGTGGGAGGTTGCTGCAGTCACATTTCCACCTGTTTCCAGACAGTAATAGTTTTTCTATATTATCAGAGAAGTCTGGGGCCAAGCTTGTTAAGGCATTATCTCTCAAGTCTAGGTAGCGCAGCCTTGGAAGAATCTGCCTTGTGCCATTTTGCAAAAACTGTCTACACTCATTGTTGGACAACAGCAAGTACTCCAAATTCTTGAGGCCAGAGAATGTATGGGTGGTGAGAGCACCCAGCTTGTTGGAACTCAGATCAAGTCCCGATAGGCCTACCATATCCACAAAACTCTGGTGTTCCACAACAGAAATATTGTTGCGTTGCAGAAATAGCCTCCTTAAACCAGACAGTCCTCTGAAAGCTTGAGTTGTTATCTTAGTTAAGCAGCCTCTGTCCAGATGTAGGCTGTGAAGCCTTGGCAGACCTTTGAACATTTGGTCTGGTAGAGTGCGGAAGCAGCTTCCAGAAAGGTTAATGACAGCCACATGAGAGAGGCCTGTGAAAGCCCCCACGTGTGCTTCCTGCACTTGATTGTGTTCTAGTTCTAGGACCTCTAAATGGCCAAGATCTTCGAAGATCCTATCCCCCAGATTTCTAATCCTGTTGTAACTCAGTCTTAGTTCTTCTAGGTACTGCAGATCACGGAAAGTTCTAGGCCTAATTCCAGTGATAGAGTTGTGAGAAAGGCGAAGTACATGGAGATTGTGCAGGCCAAGGAAGGTGTCATCATGTAGAGAAGTCACTTTATTGTTTGTCAGATCCAGCCATCTAAGTGACTTCATGCCTGCAAAAGCTCTGGGGACCACTGTTAAAATCTGATTCTGTCCCAGGTAAAGCTTTTGCAGTTTAGTTAGTTTAAGAAACACGTTGGCTTTGATCACCTTCAGGTAATTTCCTGTCAAATCTAACTCTTTGAGCTCACCAAGGTTTTGAAAGAGCTGTGGCTGCAAGTAAGCAAGTCTGTTTCCTGCGAGTATCAGCTCTCGCAGACCTTGCAGGTCATGGAAAGCTGTCTCAGGTAAGACCGTTAATGAGTTCCAACCTAGGTTAAGAAGCCACATTTGTGAGAGTCCTGCAAACAGTCTTTCCTCAATGCGACTGAGTTGGTTGTTATGCAGACTAAGTGAAGCAAGGTTGGGTGTATTCTGGAAGACTGTACCTGGTAATACCCGGAGGCGATTCCGCTCAAGGTGCATATGTGCTAGTGACCCAAGGCCCTTGAAAGCCTGAGGGTCAATAGTCGTCAGCTGGCCATTCTGAAGATTTAAAAAGTCCAGGTTGGTCAAATCCCGAAAAGCTGCGGCTGGGAGCGTTGTAAACCGGTTGCCATCCAGCCAGAGAGAATAAGTGGATGGTGGCATGTCAGTTGGTACTTGTGTGAAGTTGTGAAAACTGCAGTACATGTTGAGCTCCGAGATGAAATCATCGTATTGACAGGTGCACACCTTAGAGCAGGGAATGGGATCTTCAGCCACCTTCTCTGTAGCTGCTGTGTCTGACTGTGGAAACACCAGTGATGTTCCCAATATCCAAACTACCATCAGAGCAGTGATTTGCATACTAGCTGTGGAGAGAATATTAACATGTAAATATAAAAATGTAATACATAAATTCATTATAGAATGCAAAATATGGTTAAGAAATAAGAAATAAACATTAAATTATAAAATTGTTAATAGTTATAGGCCAGAAAAGATTTACCTTGAGTTTCAGAGGTCATGATTTAAGGCAGACAACCTGTGTAATAGTGAATGACTGATCCTTGTGCAACTGTATGTTGAATGAAAAGTCCACCAAGCCCCCAAGCTTCTTTTTTTTTTTTTGGTCAGGTCCACTTTTTCTGCACCATTAACCCATTCATTTCCATCAGAGTTGTTAGTAAGTACATTTATTCATGTACGTTTTCTTAGAATTTTCAGTTGGGCTTTCTAAACCTTTCTTCCCAGCATCAATACTGATCATTTCAGTGTCATAATAATAGCATAATAATAACAAAGTCTGCAAAATGAGAATATTTTAGACTTTCCATTCCTCTCTGCGGTTTTTGCTGTGCTGAAATTTGTCTTTTTATGTATCTCATTTCTTTGTAAGGTTTCTCAAATATTGTCAGCCCAGGTGGCTGGCAGAGTCATGCCACTGAGTGCATTTACTGTAGATTTTAACTGAGATACAGTGTTAAAGAGATGAGATTAACCCAGTGCACTGAGCCATTGACTGAATTTATGACGTTTTTCAGGTTTTTTTTGTTTTGTTTTTTCCTGCTTATAGGTAACCCATTATCAAAGGAACATTTGTCTAAGGATAAACTGACTGAACATATATTTCACTTCCAAACTTAAACTTGGAAGCATACATCATATGCATATTAAATATGCAATAACATTTTGTCATCTGTTATTGAACAATACTTTTGGAACAAAGCTGTTATTTTTGAAAAAAATTAAGATGTATGTGTTTTGACAAAAGCTGCATGTGACATAGAAACTGACAGCAGTGCCAGAAATGCTTCATTCACAAAGTTCATAATGTAGGATGGGGTCAGTTCCAGAGGTCAATTTCCTTATCAATGGCTGTAATGACTAACTTTGTGTTTGCTCTTTTTCCTCATATCTGAGATCTTTAGAGAACCATGCTAAAGCTCTGAAGGCCAAGCAAATCTAGATAGTACTGTGTGCTTAATCGTTAATTTGATTTAATTTAATTGGGTGATTTTCCAACACTGAATTTTTAACAATATGAAGACACATTATATTACATATATAGTGACTGTTTGCTAAATATTGTCCACTGCTGCATTCCACAAATTGGCAAAATATTATCTGTTAAAAAGTGTACGTGATGTGCAGCACAGCCTTCTTCAGTTGTTGATAATTACATCTGGCAGATTTATATGTTAATATCAGTGATAGTTATGTTTATTCCAGCATTCATCTAAATCAGATGGAGCTTGGTGTGTGTATTGTAGTCTTATTTTATATTTGATCTAAAATACACATTTTTAAATGATCTTTAATAGACATTTGTATTGATTAATACATGTGGCACAAAGTTAGAGTTTACACATCGTTTTTTAGGTATATAATAATACTTTTATGTCCCACGCTGAAAAGAAATGCACTCCATATTTCTCATATGAAAGGATCATGTGTCCTGACTGAAACCTTTGTCATGCCTGCAACTCTGATAAATGCTGCAGAGTGTACAGAGATAAACAGAATTAAAATGTTCTCTTGCCAGTAGAGAGCACTGCTGGTTTGCTGTTTCATCTTGGTCAAACAGCACTGTCTTCATCTGTGGAAGCCTTTCCTATACTAACCAAAATGGTTAATGCTTAATAGAGTATGAGCAGCAGCGATAAGCAGATCTATGGATTTTGCTGTGTCTTTCTAGGCTTCACTAGATCAACCGTGGAAAGCAGCTTTCTCGTTCTGAAGTCAATTTCTTTCTTTTTTTTCTTTTAAATGACATGAAAAGAAAAAAAAACTTGGAGAATGGCTGCTGCAGCGAGCTGTTCTTTGATTTTTGCATCGCTGACAAACACCTCTGATTGGCTCCTTCTGTGGCATACACAGAGGTTTCCAGCTTGGTCGGTTGCTATGAGCTCACTTGGTGGAGGAGAGGCATCTTAATAGTGAGCGGGAAAGCCTGTCGCTGTGGTTGTAGTATTTTGACTGGGCTTTGTCTTGTTTAAGGAAGAATAATTTTCTCAAATAACTCTATATACATTTTTTTAATTGTTTAGCAGCAGATAAATTGGCTAGAAAGCAAGAAGTCAATCTAAATTAAGCAGCTGGATGCTGATCAGAGTTAAAACTAATATTAATTCTGCTACTCTGCCAATGATTGAGATTGCCAGTTAGAGAGATAAAGTATTAGAACACATACACTGTAGCTAATGAACACACAGGCTTATCCTGCTGCAGCTATGTTAGGCCTGTTTAACTTAGACTTTTGTCATTATCTGGATACAGAAATCATACAAGTTTAAACTGAACTTGGTTTTCAGGGATTTTTATTGGGTTTAACTGTTTTGGAAATATATACTATACTACATTGCCTGTCCATCTATCTGTCTATTGTACATCATTAACAGTAAAACACATATATCTAGTCACTCTCATCCCATCCAATGACCTACACTTTTTCAACATCACAGTAAAAAACAATTAAACATGCCTATTTAGCAAGTGAAGATGAAAATTTGTTGCTGTGCTTGTTAAAGTGATTATGACTCAGACTTTAGTACTTTGTTTTTTCTCTGTGTTTTTTTGTTTAATTGGCTGGTATTCAATTCACAGTCCAAGCTGATTCACCTTTGAAACCACACAACTTATCTTGTTGTCTTTTCAAACATAAAACGCTATGTGACAAGCCAACACTAAAAAGACTGTGTGCGGTATTAACTGCTTCATTTTAGAAAAGCAATGACAGACAAAAACCACCAGAATTCTAAAACGAGTCTAAGAGAAGTACATAAAAACCAGCTGAATGTAGTAACTTCGGTGAAGAAATAGCTCTATCAAAAGAAGAAGAAAAAAACAAGCTGTAAAACCAAAGATTACTCCTCCTGTGCTGCTGTAGTGGGCCTCAGGACATGAATAATGTTGGACCCTCCTGCTGCTCTCATCTGTTGCACATAACACAGTGGAAAACAGCCAAAAGGAGCACTTTCATTTCTGTGCTCTGTTGCTGTAACAGGGAAACAACTTTTTACTACTAAAGAAAGGTTAAATAACTGATCTCTTTTCTTATTCTTATAATCTGCTATTAGGGAAGTGGAGAGACTTTAGTAATCCAAATTGTTTGATTTGTCTCTGATTAAAGTTGGAGCGACACATAACGATAAACATATATAAGAGCTTCATATGGAGTGACAGTCAACACTGCCATCCTCTGGTCAATTGTTGCACTCCTCCCTTTACATTTTAAAAGCAAATTAATAAAAGAGAAACGTGTTTTATCTGAGTTTAAATCATTGTTCAGTTGCCTTTGGTTCAGTACTGCTCTGAAAGCGCTGCCACCTCACCCTTTGACAGTAAAAAGACCCTCAACACCCCTGCAGTGGCTATTAATAACACCCAGGGCTCACAGTCAACTTGCTGCTTTCAAGGAGGAAAGAGAATTCAATGACTCAGTGTCCACATCTGGAATCTGCTGGAACTGGACATTTTTTGGTAATTGATTGTGATGATGTGACCAAATCATGCAGCTGAGGACCCAGATTAGATTTCTATTGTAACATTGTAACTGTTGGATGTGTGCTGCCATAGCCAATCGAATACCTATCTATGCTTTTTTACATGCCGCCTGTTACAAAAATATACTTTGTTCCCATATATTTAGTTTAAGATAACACACTCTGACATATATAAAATTGTATTTTTGCACCAACAAGGTGATTTCTAAAGAGCTATTTGCTGAAAAATATCAGACCTAAATGAATGTGTACAGCAGATGAACATCATCTGAAGATTATGTCCATAGAAATAGAAATGATCAAGCAAGAAACCTGACACATGACGTGAGAGATGAATCACAGGCTTTAGCTGATCCATCTAATGTCAAGGGTGGCTGTCAAGAAGCCATCCTTAAGGAAGGGAAATGAAACAAAAGTTGATGTATACCAGATTAGACGAGGCTTAGACTGAAAATCAGGGGTAAGAGGTCTGATAGAGTCATGAATCCAAATGAGGTTTTTGGTTAGAACTGTTGTCAATATGTACAAGATGTGACAAGTATATTTTATCTAACATTATAATGAATGCCTTGCAGTAAACCTTGGCTAGCAGACCTCGAGTACTTAAAGATTTATTGCTGCAAAAGCTTTTATTTAAATGCTTTTTATTTTTATTTAAATGCTTTTTTTTGTTTGTTTGTTTTTTTACACCTGATGCCCTTCTATTTCTATTTATTAAAGAAAGAAAATGTTTTGCAGTGATAGACAAGAATCCTGACAAGGTGAAAAAATAGTTTGGCTACTTCAGGGTTAAATTGATTTATAGCAAACTGCTATCACACATGTCAATTTGTATATCGTCAAAGAAAAAGCTCTGAATTGAAATGAAACTCTATTGAAACGCTCTCATTTTTTCCCCTCACTGTCATCCTGCCCATTTAGCTATACTCAGGGGATCCAGGATGAAACTGAAACACCTAGACAATGTCAGCTGAAGAAGACAGGTGAAAGAGACACAACCAAACACTAATGTCTATGTGAATTAGGCAACTGGGAAGAGACCTGGATCTCATTGAGAGGAGGGAAGGAAGAAAAGCAGCTCCTGAATCCCTGTAGAAATGCAGATAATCTGAAGCTTCATTTAGGTCTCTCATTCATTTTTTTCTTCATTTATACCTTTTTTTTTTTATCTTCACATGAGTAAATGCAACTTCATGTGACCAGCGTAACCCAAAAATGGAAATATAAAGGTATATTAGCTATTTTATATATTACTAATAAAGCTACGTATCAAACATTATAAGGACTTTGTAATAACCTCCCTTTCAAATGCATTGGTGAATGCTGTTTGAAGGGTGTGGATTTGATTTGCAGTGGGTTCACTTGTAGTGTGGTCCAATTTTTGAGGCCTGTGGGCCAGACGCAGGTGGAGCAACATTAATAGTGACATATCATTGATCTCCTTTGTCTAATGTTAGTTGTCGGCTTGTCTGCAATTTCGGCATGCTTCCTAAAATTTGGCTTTGAAAAGTTGCTGCAGACCCGATCTTGATTGTTTTTTTTCTACATGCTATTATTAATGGAGAGTGTCTTCTGGTAGTTCATGTTCATTTTTTTGAGGAGACAGTTCCCTAAAAAATGCCAAAACTTTACCTTTACTCAGCAACTTTAGCAGCATGTTTGTGCATGTCACATCAGTTCTCCAAATGACAGTGAAATTGGCGCCTTTCAAAGCTTTCTGCCAGAATCAAACAATTTCCTGTACTGCATCCTTGAAAAGAATTCTACATTCTTATCTTCATACTTCTTAACAACAAAAACTCTTTACACTGTCTCTCTCGTTCAAGTCCTCATCGCTATTGTGACATTTACTATATCTTTGGACCTGTCACACTACAGTAAGAAACCTTCACGCGTGGCAATTTCCTTCTTTCGGTTGGTCCTGCAAACTTTCCTGACATGCCTTTTATTTAATCTTCAACAACAATGTTGAGATGCTTCAGTGGTCGTCTTACAGTTTATAAACAATATATATTCCTGAAGTGGTAAAACACGTAAGATGCTTTTCTATCTACTCCTGTCTTTGTACGTAGGTCAAGTCAAAAATGTGTGTCAGGGCAAGACGATAGAACTGGTTTTGTGTTAGCAGTCTGTAGCCCGCAGCTCCTGCTCTACATTTAAGGCAGTAGAGTGTATAAATGTGGATAGAAGTGTAGGTCAATAATAAAAAAAATAACACTGTGCCTATGGGACAATGGAAATATTTTAATAGTTCCTTTTCTTAGACAGCTTATAGCACATAGATATCACTTTGGCTTTATCATACAGCCATGAGAGGGCTATAAAGGGTAAAAGGCAAGATTCTACATTATTTGCCAATCCATTGCAGAGCTAAAACAAAGAGAGGGGCAACCAGTTCACACTCACAACAGTGGACAACACCAATCACCAGTTAAACTAACCCCATTAACTGCATACTTTGGGACTGCAGGAAGAGTCTGGAGTACCCAGAGAGAAGCCATGCAGGCACAGTGAAGGCTCCAACAACCCAGTGCATTTGAACAGAAGACCTTCTTGTTGTGATACAGCTGTGCAGCATGCTAATCATTTCAGAGTGAATATACTCACTCTTAGTATGTCCTTCATATAAGGAAACGTAGTATGTCTTTATACTTTTAACAAGCCCATAGACCATCCTTGAGGTCTTTCTTGAAACAAAGCAACCAAAACGGCCCATTGATTTGAACTTTTTTTCAGGCCCCAAAATAGTGGCACCTCATCAAATAAAGAGGTTAATTCCAAAACAATCCATTACTACTTTATTTAAAACTTTAATAACTGGGCCTCAGCAGTTGAATTGCCTAATGTCTGGATAAAGAGATGTTATTCTGGGATTACTGGGAAAAACTAAGAGCATCTCAAAGCAGTCTAAATTGGTAAAAACTCGCAACATGCGCTTCTTTTTCTTCAGATTTACTTTACAGTCAGAATTCCTTACAGACAGTGGATAAATGAATTATTAACTAGTCCAACAGTAGTTTCACTGCAGAAGAGCTCATTTTTGCTGACAACATGGGTTCTGTTTCTGCCTTTTGAATTCTGCCAACTGCTATGCTCCTCTGGAGAAATATAAAGCTGCTTTTTCCCGTCTTGTTTTATTGGGGCTGTAATTTTCTAGCTTTGTTTCTCTCCTGAAAGAGAATTGTTACTGTAATGGGCTGCTGTCACTTATTGTTAATGAGCAGTGTAGGGACGCGGTTTTTCTCCTTCTTATTTCATATGCATGCAGTGAAATATCTTTGTTTTGTTTTCTTTAACTCTTAGAGCGAACTGTAGGGAATTAAAATATAAATTATCATCAAAATAAATTCCCTTTCTAAGTGTGTGGATCAATAGAAGTTGGCTGATATGTTATTTTGCTTGTTTGTTTTTTAATTTTGCTCTAAGGATGGCCTGCTACATTTCAAAATAAAGTCAAGAATTTTATAGTGCTGGGTCTATTATGTGACTTTGCTGCTTAACCATCACAGAGGACTTTTGTGAGGCTGCCAAAGCAAAGGTGAGAAACCTTTCATGGAACGGGTGTGAAAGAAAGAAATGAGATAAAGAGGTGAAGCCTGTCTCCGAGCACAAAAGGACCTAAAAATTATATGCCATGTCTGCAACCCGAATGAACTGCCACCAGTAAATGGAAAAAAGATCAGCTGACACAGAAATGAAGGAAATTAAATTAATACATCATATGACATTTTTAAGTCCATACTATTAAGCTGCAGAGGACTTTGCAGAAATGGGGTACATATCATTGCTAGCTTTGTCAGTGTGTTAAAGTGACGGCAGTATATCAGTTTAGACATAAATGACATGGGTGGCTTTTGCATTGCTGTAACTGCCTGCTTCATTTAGGCATTCATTTACATTGTCATTAGATTGAACAGTACATGAAATGGCATTTAATTAATGAGGTTAGATACTTGAGAGGTATGATATTTTGTGAGCAACTCATAAAGACACACAAGATGTCTTTGCAGGTGACAGAAAAGCTTTGTAAATAGATATATGTTAATGGGCCGCGTGCAATTCAGAATTGAGTTGTGTTGAAGGTAGTATGTCAAATTATTGGAAAGTTTCAATTTTAGTACAAGTGGAAAAGTAAATCATGAAATAAAACACAATAGCATGTAGCCTTGGCTGATTTTACAGAATTCGTGATGGCGTGTACTCCACCTCTTGCTCAGTGTTAGCTAAAAAAAAAGGTTCCAACCCCTCTACAACCCTCGTTGGAATAATGGTTAAGAAAATGGATCAATGAATGCCTTGATTGAGCTTGCAGAATAATTTGGGAGCCGGTTTAATTTTCTTGTGAACCAAAGGGTTCCCAAGCATTCATTTTCAAAGTCACTGATATTATTAAGCTGCAGAGGACTTTGAAATTCATCAGCTTGCTCTCAGTTGTCACTCCCCTCTCTGTGCCATTTCTTGATTAACTAAGCACTCCGCAGAGGATCAGACACATTTTCAAGTGCTCTAAGTTTATGTACATTTACATTTACTCTCATTTTACATAATTGCTAGATTCATACTTTGCAATTTATTATTAAGTATGCAATTAGGGTAGATTGCTTCCAAAGGACTTCATTTTGTATTTTGTTTTTTAAGTGTCATGGGTACATTCAAGGAGAGATTTCAGAAATAAAATGGTTTCTGTAGATGCTTAAAAATTGCTGTGCTTACAGCTGAAGTACAAGAGGGTATTGTTAGACATGGCTGAACAGAAATAGAGGGACTTTTAAAGTCCAAGCTTCGTTTTGTGTCTCTTTTACCTTTACAGCAATGACGCGGCTCGTTTAAAGTGCACCCAAACTGAGGAACAACTCAAGCTCAGAAGTAACAAACTATAAAAAAAATTACATGTTCTTTATATTGTAAGGTAGACCCTACAATAAAAGGAATCTGTCTGTAAAAGGATTCCAAAAGGACCTGGAGTGGTTTGGCAGTTCCTGGGTCCAAGGATAAGCAAGGTTTGAAGGACAGGTGGGGAAACAAACGATCAAATATAAATCTTAAAGCTGTAATATTTTTAAACTTACTTTCCTTAGAATTTCATATGTGACTTGGGACCAACACGCAAACAAAACAGGAGGTCCAGGTGTACTTATCTCACAGTCACACGTATGCTTTTCTTTGGATTGACTAAAATCTCTTAGTAGATGACAAGCAAGAACATTCACTAAAATACTGGAGTAAAGAAAAAGCAATCTGGTCTTTGAGGATTAAAGAACTAAAATGGTTCTTGCAAGTCTTGTAAGTCTCTGTAGGACAAACGAAGAAGGCTGATAGAAAACTGTATTTAAATCTTCATGAAAGCACAACACAAGTATGCATTTATAATACAGTTAATTCCATATTTAGTGAAATCTTAACTTTTAGGTAAATTAATGAATTTACAATTATTACGTTCACACTGATATCATTATATTATCTTACTTTTATGCACAAAAAACATAAACAGCAGCACTCACCGTTATGATTGAATCAAATCTTCAGTGTGCAGGAATACAACACCCAAAATTTGGTGGAGGAGCTGAAATAAAGCAACTTTCATTAATAAGGTAAAACACTATGAACCCAAGTTATCACAAACTCTAAAGGTTTTGCATTGCTTCTCTGAGGTAATCAGAGTATCTCAACTGTGCCTATCCCCAAAATAACACAATGACCTTTCTTTTGACTTGAGCTAGAGGAAAGACTTCCCTGTGTCTCTGTCTGCTGTCTAGGCATCTCTCAGAGGAGCTCCACATTCCTAATCTCTATGTACCTCCTTTCAGAAAGTCTCAGATTGTGCTGTTTCATTTGATCCACAACAATCTAGGCTAAGTTGCTTTGCAATTGGAAATTTCTTCCTTGTTTAACGTCTAGCTTGGCTGCAGCACAGCTGAATGTGTTGTGATCTTTTCTGGCCTTTGTCAATTAACATAGCTGCCTTTTCATTAGAAATGCTGCATGACTTCTTTGCATTAAGGAATTGTCATGAGAACAATACTCCAGTAAACATCTACTGGTATTGTAATGCTCTTTAAACTGAACCTATAAATACTTAACTATAGTGTAGCATATTTCAAAATGCCTCAGCCCTCCAGGTACATCAAACCAAAGAACACCTTCACTGTATAGCTGTTGCTTAAAAAACACCAATTGTATTCATTTAAATGCCACAAGTGCATTTTCCCTGTAAATACAGAAATCTCCCACATTTCCTCACTTTATGACTCTTAAAAGGTAGTTATCAGCTGTTTTTTTTTAATAAGCATCAGCTCATATTGAATGCATCTGCAGCAGAATATGCAGCCTGTTCACTTTGTCATGTCAGCGACTATGAAATCTCGACAGCTTGTCATCTGAAGCTTCTCACTGGGCTCCTATTTTTATTGCAGTCACAAGGGGAAAAAAACTGGCACAGTTCCTCTCTGTTTACTGTGCGCATAAAAGATATGTATGACTGTATGTATGTCCTCATGCATATAATTGTTATGGGAACTGATTCTGCAGTCTGAAGTCAAATCAACTGAGTAATTGAATAAGACATGTTAAACTTCCCTTTAGTCCAGCAATGCACATTTCATGAACCCCAAGAATTGTATCACTACTGGTGTGGAAGCAGAGAGGGCTTACACATTCCATTCATTGTATAATAGCATTCTTATAATTGCGTCTTTTGTCTGCTGCTGAAGTCACACAGAGCACCTGAGTAAGTCTGTTTCAAACCATCAGTCAACTGTTCTATTAGCCTGCTGTTGGTGAGCTTGATGATAAGGTTGAAAATTATCACATGAGAAGAGGGTCTTTCTGCAAGTATGCTAGTGTGACCTTAGATGCTAACAGTTACTAATCAGCTAGTCTAAAAGTACTTATTCTGAACGTTGCCTGCTGATGTCACTATCCTGAACAGTAATATCAGATAAGCTTTTTTGATGCATTCATTGAGTCGCCACTGACTTTTTTTAGGATACTGGTTAGGTTGTTGTCATGTGCTACACAAAGCTGAAGTTGCACGCATGCATTTGGCCTCATAGTTGTTTTGAGTTAACCCTCAGTAGATATGTAAAAAAAAAACATGTGGATGTTAATCTAACCCTAAACAGGTTTTCATTATTTTGGTGATGGATGCTATAAAGTCAAAATGCTGCATGGTCAACATGTAGTTTGGGC